ACTCGAGAAAACACCAAGGAAAGAAATAGTGCCAAGCACTTTCTCCCCCCCCTTTCAAGAAATGCTCCACATAAAAGTTTCGCAGCTGCGCCGAGATGAAAACCAACAAAACCAGGTGTGAAGTCCCACTGAGAAGACTGGTGAGCGTAGAGACCCAGGTGAAACTTGCGTCGGTGTGGAAACTCGATGACGAATCCCAGGTGTTACGTGCCCATAATTTCTTCGAGGGAAAACCCGAAGATGTAGACCGGAAACTGAAACTAAAATCATCGAATACTCGAACTGAACCGTTTTGTCTTCACATCGCCAGAATCAGCCGATATCTTCAGCAGTTGCAGTTGGCAGCTCCTGACGTGGTTGAGAATTAATGCAGTTGTCGTGGGAGGGTCGAAGGCGAGTTGTCGGTAGCAGAGTTGGAAATGGTTTCTCCGAGAGTTTTGTCGTAATGTGTCGATGATTCTTGGGCAGGGATGAAATTTCACAGCTGTCGCTCCCCCCCTTCACTGTTGCTGCCGCCTTCCTCGGTTCGTCGTAAGTCCTTCGTACCCCTGAAAAAGTTTGTGTAAATCTCGCGGTGCTGTCCCCCTCCGTTTGACGCGCGCGTTTAACCAAACGCCGAATTCTCCTCCGAAATTGTCGGCGCTCCTTGCCGTAAAACCGGTAAGTCCCCACGAAAACTCTCCGAAATTGTCGCTCACATCAAACCCCGTAAATCCGCAGTTGCAGTTGCAGTTCGCCTCCGAAACCTCGGACGTGCTATAGCCGCCCACTCGGTCACCATCAGTTTCCGTCGGCTACCCGACCCCAGCATGTGGGTTCAATCGAGAACCGGGGACTGCCCTGGGTTATTCCAAGACCGAGTTTCACGGAACCTAGAGGCATCAACGCCGTTGACTCCGTAGTCGAAACTGCTCTCGCCGATGCTGTTTAACAAAAACCCATGTTTCTCCCACCTGCGCTTTGCAGATGTTTCACCGCATCGCTCGTCGCCGGTCGATAAGTTCCCGAAGCTACGACTGCTTCCACGCTCCCTTTTTTCTAGAAGAATTTCCCGAGGTGTGCGTTTAAACACCGGGGGTCCTAGGTATCCTTGCCGTTGTGTTTCTTGCCAGGCAACTTCGAAAAGTGCCTTTCAGGCGAAGTCCCCCAACGACTCAATAGCACTCTAAGAAGCGAAGAAATACCCGCAGCTTCATAATTTTTTGGTAGTTTCACCCCCCGATAATTCCGCTTCCCGCCGTTCACCCAGCGTCCGCATTTTTCGGATGAGGTATAGTCGTTGTTGCCCGCACGAACCCAGCCACGGTGGAGAAGAAAAGTCTATCGGAGTCGGGTTTAGCTTAGTTAAAAGGAAATCATTCCCAACCGCTTTGCAGCCCACCGTGCCGTCGCGCCACTAAAACTCCACAGCTCCCGGTTCAGCTCCGCCGCTGCGCCGTCACCTCGTGTAGACGCCCGGGTCAGGAGAAACCAGCAAACTGCACCATTGTTGTCATGCGGCGCCCCGATTTTTTCGCGTGCTGTTCACCCCGTCCGCTTTTGTCGGAGTAGAACAGTGCCGCAACTCCACCTTTTTTTTTTTCTGTACAGCTGTTGAACGAGCACCAACCCAGGTGCCTTTAACTAGCGCAGGGTAGGCCCGTGTTCACCCCCGTTATTCGGCCAAGTAAGTTGACTGCATGAGTCAGAACTAGAAACTTGGTGGGGATGGTGAGGTTCGGGCGACGGAAGGTCACAGATCGTTCACACCGGCTTTTAACCTGCCCTTCACGCCGTTCTTCAACCCCCGCTTAGCCGTCGGGCAGTTTCTTCTCGTGTGTCCCGGCGGCCTGTACCACTCTCCTCCGTAACTGTCGGCGTGGTACCTTGAACACCGTTTAATCGTGGGCTGTTGAGGCTGTCCCCGAAAATGACTTCCTTACAGGGAATCCACTCTCGAAATTGCCAGCCAGCAGTCAACAGTACTAGGCACGCAGCGTCATCCGAGTGTTCTTCGGGGTGTATGGGCCCGAATTGCCCTCGCCGCCTGCGTCCCACTACTCCTGAGTGCGATTTAGCCACTCCGTTTTCTGTTGCAACCCGTAAGTGTCGGCGGGTCTTAAGTTCCCGTCTGTCCACGTTCACTCCTGCCGAAATACTCGATGACGCGCCCGCCATGCAGTAAAAGCCGGGACGACAGTTGACCTCGCACAATTCGGGCAATTCGCGTGTCGTCTCTCCTCGTCCACCGATATTTTCGGACGCAAAACTCCATTTGCGCCTGGCGAGTTCCCCAGCTGACTTTTTCTCCACAGTTGCTCCGAAATTGTCGCCCACAGTGACGCACGTCCCCTGTCACCAGCTGCCGAAGCACATGTTGCGAGTCATGCGCGCAAAATGACGACGAGACACCGTCGTAAATTGCCGCATCAGATGAACTCCGAAATTGTCGCGCAGCTGTTGACCCAGGTCCGACGGCGTCAACTGCCACACACGTTGACGACTCCGCGAATTTTTTGCAGGTGCCGACGCAGGTCCGCTGACGCCAGCTTCCACACAAAACTTCCGAAATCGTCGGTAAATTGCAGCGGAAATTTACTCACATTAACGTCGCAACAGCTACAGCTGCCCGTTGCCCGGGGGGAGGGAGGCGACGGTCGATCGCGACCGTTCGAGGCAAGGATCTGGCGGTGCCGAAGGAGTACTCGTAAAACCATGGCCGCGAGGAGCAACTAACTCGTTCTCCTGGCCGGCCTACGCAACTCCTGGAGACATCCTTCCTCGTCCGTATTACACCCAAAAAAGCGGGGTAGCCTAGGAAAGTAGCTCTGATACCAAGTGTTATGAATGAACTTGCAGAGTGTGCAGAATATCGAATAACGAGAATGAACTGATTACCGAATTACTGAATGACGATACAATGAGAAAGGCACGACTAAATAGGGGAAGTCCTAGCTAGGCGGGGAGGTTGGGCGAGGATGGCTCGGTGATGGTTGCGATTGGAGCGGAGGCGACTCAGGAGTGGTTCGGTGCGACGAAATAGGAAGGACAGGTTCGTCGCGTGACCCTTGGAATGATCTCGCTAACGAGTGCCTCAGTAAGGATTCTGGAAATCCTTGCAGATCAACTACACCCTCGTGTCGTGAATTGTCGTAAATTGTCAGTTCGCAAGCCTTTCAACGACTCGCGACTACAGTGCTAGTGTACTGAACTCAACTTATCACACAGATGTGGGAACATACAGCAGTTTATAATCAATCGCGCTCTACCGTTTTAAAATGTGCAGTATCGCATTACTTACCTTTGACTCTGTCCAACCCTCCCCGACAGGGTTGCGCTGGACACTGGATTTCCTTCCAGAACGTTTAGTAATGGCTGACAGATGATCCAGTTCTCACTCAGGTTGCTGACACAGGAACGGGATGACAGATGAGGTACCGATTCGTTTCGTGTCCGGTCGCGCGCCTTGGAGAAAGTTGATGCTTACTTCAGTCGACTACTTCGCGTTGAAGACGTCTCGACCCCGTAGACTTATAGTCGGATAGGATGCGGCTAGCAAGGCATTGTACTACAGAAGTCTATACTGTCAAGTGGATTTAGGGATCACCAAAAGCAATTTCGTTGAGCAGATAAACTTGACTCACGCATGGTGTGAAACGTAGACACAAGATGCCTTGAAAAGCCTTTTTTAGCGGGAGTTTAACACGATGACAATATTTGTTTTTTCCAGCAGGAGTTTAACACGACGACAATACTAAACTTTAGCCGGCATCAGAAACTAGCTTTTTGTACGGAATAGCTACTGCCACGTCGGAAAGCGTTGTCTCGTGGCGAAAGTTCAATCGTTGCATTTCGACCGTCGTACCCATGTGATCGCGTCTTAGCTGCGGACTATGTCGACAACGTACAATCGGCCATCGCACCCATCGGACGTGGACGAAATCAGCTTCTCAAGTCCGCCAGCTTTTGCGTCGACTCAAAAGCCGACGACGTACAATCGTTCGTCGCACCCGTCGCACCCGTCGGACCCGTCCGACCTGGACGAAATCAGCTTCTCAGATCAGCGAGACGCCTTCTTTCGCCCGCCGTCCGCGCTCGGAGAGTCCCCTAGCAAATTCTTCCGACGGCGACCGTGGCTGGCTGGATCACAATCCATGGCCGTTCAGCGTTCAATCCGATCCGTTTTACTCCCGATCATCCTGCTCGGAATCTTCGTCTGCTGCTTAATCTACGGTGTGATCTTCAGCGGGTTTCCAGGAGCGAATCTCCGCCGGTTACTGACGGCGAGTGGCGACGATCCGACGGTAGCAAACGTCAACCGGACTTCCTTAGGTGCAGCTTTCAATATATCAGAATCATGCATTAAGGTCCTGAAATCAGCAGCCAGGCTCCCTGGCGCGAAAACGAAGTTCACGCCGATTCAGCTCACGGAGTGCAGCGTAACCTTATGCCAAGACATGCAGAACCTAGCTCATCAGGCATCGCAGCGAGCACTTACCGCAGCTCAAGAACCCGCTTCGGGTCCTAGTTCAGGTTCAGGTTTGGATTCAGGTTCAGGTTTAGATTCAGGTTCAGATTCAGGTTCAGGTTCTTCAGGTTCAGGTTCAGATTCAGGTAAAGGTTCAGGTTCACTGAACCCACTTGCAATCCAGCAGAAGCGACCGTTGAGCCGCGACGAGGTGGAGGAGCAGCAGCAGCAGGGGGACGTGGGTGTGGTGTGCAGCCGAGCGTGGAAGCAGGGCCTTTTGGACCGTGTGCCTGGCAGCCACTTCCTCACCCGCGCGTTTAAGAAAGAGCGGGTTACTTTGGAGAGTATTTCAGCTGGCGTGGACTCGATTTGCGATAAGGTGGAGGACGTTGAACGGCTGATGGGGAAGAGCTACGCTGGAAGCAGCAGCAGCGGTAGCGGCAACAGCAGCGGCGGCAGCAGTGGGAACGATAGCAATAGCAGCGGCAGCAGTCCGAGTGACCCAGACAGTCCCTGCAACCACTGGCCTGAGGCATGCTGGCCTGTGCCTGGCATGCCGTTTTCCCATCTCTCTGTGAGTGCATTTCATTCACTTCCTTGAGCAATGTCTACAAAAGCTACCCTCTCTCCCTCCCTCCCTCCCTCCCCCACGCTTCTTCCTCCGTTTCCTCGCTGTGAATGCATGTCATGCATCTCTTGACAACCCACTCTCATCTCATCCCTAGCAACCTACAAACCCCCTCATTCCCTTCCCCTCTTCCTCTTTGTTTCTGTTTATGTTATTGTGTGTGTGCGTGTGTGTCTGTGTGTGTGTGTGTGTATGTGTGTGTGTGTTTGCATGCGTGCGTGTGTGTGTGTATGTGTGTGTGTGTGTGTGTGTGTGTGTGTGTGAGTGTGCGTGTGTGCGTGTGTGTGTGTGTGTGTGTATGTTTCGATGCAGGACTTTGCCAATCGCAGGTATCTGGTGTTTGCAGCGGTGGAGGAGCAGCTCACCAACGCCAAGATCCATGTCATTGAGGCCGCACGGGTGGCCAGAGAGACCAACCGCATCCTCGTGCTGCCCAAGGTACCTCAGTGATCTAAACGCTTGTCATACTCTCGTGAATTGGCCCCACAGCCATCTGTCACTGGGTCGATCCATGCCCATGTGTGCCTACTGCGACTTGCAGCCGTTGCAACCCCTCCCTCCCTCACTCCCTTCCTCACTCCCTCACTCCCTCCCTGCCTCCCTCCGTACCCTACCCACCCGCTCCTTCTCAGGGGTCCCACAGCCATCTGTCGCTGGGTCGATCCATGCCCATGTGTGCCTACTGCGACTTGGCTTATCTCAACGCCACCGAGTGGGTCTCCCCCGAGTTCTTTCTTCTCCTCGCCCGGGCTGCCTTCGTCAAACCCACTGTCAGCTACCTCTGCGTTGACACTCCCGAGCTCGGCAGACCCTGCTTCGGCACAAGTGAGTCAAGGCCAGGAAGAGAGCACAATTGTAGTCGTGTCAAGGCCTGCCTTCTCCCACCCCACCGTCAGCTACCTCTGTGTTGACACACCTGAGCTCGGCAGACCCTGCTTCGGCACAAGTGAGTCAAGGCCCTGCCTGACGATTGCTTTATTCTAGTCCGTTCACGGGCTCTATGGGATACCTCTGTGTTGACACTCCCGAGCTTGGCCGGCCCTGCTTTGGCACAAGTGAGCATTCGTGGTAGGGAGAGAGGGGGGGAGATTAGTACGGATGCGAGCGTGTTTGAAGAAGGGTTTTGAGACGTCTCAAAATCCTTCTTCAAATTCGTGGTAGGGAGAGAGGGGGGGGAGATTAGTACGGATGCGAGCGTTTCAAGAGCTGCCTTCTACCTTTGTGTGTGTGTGTGTGTATGTGTGTGTGTGTGTGTGTGTGTGTGTGTGTGTGTGTGTGTGTGTACGCGCGCTTGCGCGCGCGCGTATGTGTGTGTGTTAACAATTCTAAGCTTGATAGTGAGAGCAATACCATGAATGCACTACTTCATTACGTTCTGTTTGTTGTTCAGTTCAGTCATAATTCTCAGAGGGCAATTCCATGAATGCACTAATACATTACGTTCCGTCGTTGTGCTGTCAGTCACATGACAGACAGACAGTACATTTACAGAACTTGCATTCGTTTATATCTGTATACCGCCCCCTGTCCTCCCTGCGATCTCCGCTGCTCCTAACCTTGCCCCGTGAGCAGTGGAAATTGCAGGGAGTCTGGGGGCCGTGTTCACACTGGCCATGGGGCACGCGCCCACGGGGGGCAACACCTGCTGCTAACCCAATCCCACCCCAATCTATCCTCCCCACAAATGCTCCCCAACCCCCCGTGAGCAGCGGAAATTGCAGGGAGTCTGGGGGCAGTGTTCACGCTGGCCATGGGGCACGTACCCACGGGGGGCAACACCATCTGGCTACACATGCCTGCCCGCTTCGACCAGATCCAGTCCCTGCTCAACGCTTGGTGAGTTGCTGGGGGGAAGCGCAATGCTCGTGTCTTGGCATGGGGCATGGGGCATGGGGCATGCGGCATGCGGCATGGGGCATGGGGTATGTGGCATGGGGCATGTGGCATGGGGCATGTGGCATGGGGCATGTGGCATGGGGCATGTGGCATGGGGCATGTGGTATGGGGTATGTGGCATGGGGCATGTACTCACGGGGGGCAACACCATCTGGCTGCACATGCCTGCCCGCTTCGACCAGATCCAGTCCCTGCTCAACGCTTGGTGAGTTGCTGGGGGGAAGCGCAATGTTCGCGTCTTGGCATGGGGCATGGGGCATGGGGCATGCGGCATGCGGCATGGTGCATGGGGCATGTGGCATGGGGCATGTGGCATGGGGCATGTGGCATGGGGCATGTGGTATGGGGTATGTGGCATGGGGCATGTACTCACGGGGGGCAACACCATCTGGCTGCACATGCCTGCCCGCTTCGACCAGATCCAGTCCCTGCTCAACGCTTGGTGAGTTGCTGGGGGGAAGCGCAATGCTCGTGTCTTGGCATGGGGCATGGGGCATGGGGCATGCGGCATGGGGCATGGGGCATGGGGCATGGGGCATGCGGCATGCGGCATGGGGCATGGGGCATGTGGCATGGGGCATGTGGCATGGGGCATGTGGCATGGGGCATGTGGCATGGGGCATGTACCCACGGGGGGCAACACCATCTGGCTGCACATGCCTGCCCGCTTCGACCAGATCCAGTCCCTGCTCAACGCTTGGTAAGATGGTAGTGGGAAAGGGTGAGCCGGAGTGGGGCATGGTGAGCCGGCCAGAGTGGGGCATGGTGAGATGGAGTGGAATACTCATCTCTTATCACCAAATACCCCAAAAATATAACATGTGTCTGCGTGAGCAGGAGAGTTCTTCTCCATCCCCCTCTGCAGAAAGCAGAAAGCTCAGAGATGTAGTGATAGATATACACATGACTGCTTAAGCGGGAGACAGTCAATGTCTCATACACACACCTGCCTGTCCTCCCACGCACACCTGTCCTCCCACGCACGTCTGCCATGAGTTGTTCTCTTCTCTTGCTTCTTCTCTACCCCCCTCTGCAGCAAGCACAGGGATGTGATGATATACGCCAAGAATACATCCGAGCGTTTTGTTTGCCCCCACTCCTCCTTCCTCCCCCCTTCCCTCTCCTCCGCCTTGCAGGAAGCACAGGGATGTGATGATAGACGCCAAGAACACATCCGAGCATATCACCACCAACCACAATCCCATTTTCTCATTTCCCTACCGGCCTCCTCCCCCCAGGAAGCACTGGGACGTGGTGGTGATGTACCCCAAGAGCACATACATGGAGGGTAGTGCGCGGGGCAGGCGACATGGCGCACACCATCCTTTCACACACCTACCAACCACAATCCAAGCTCTCATCTACATTCATCCTACTGGGGAAGCACCCACTGGGGAAGCACAGGGACGTGGTGTGGTGGTATACGCCAAGAACACATACGAGCGTTTCGAGCACACGATAAATGGTGCTGCATCTCTCCTACCACAAATCCCGTCCTTTCCCTCCCCGCTTCCCCCCCCCAGGAAGCACAGGGACGTGGTGGTGGTATACGCCAAGAACACATTCGAGCATTGAGGCGCCTCAAAACTCTACCCCCCTCTCCGGGAAGCACAGGGACGTGGTGGTGGTGGTATACGCCAAGAACACATACAAGCGTTCTGTTTGCAAGACGGGCGACAAGGAGCATGCACTGCTGCCGTCTGCCCACGAGTGGCCTGGTCTCTCGTCTCTTGAGGCGCCTCAAAAGTTGTCTCCTGTCTTGCGGTTTTGAGGCGCCTCAAAAGTCGTCTCCTGTCTCGCGGTTTTGAGGCGCCTCAAAAGTCATCTCCTGTCTCGCGGTTTTGAGGCGCCTCAAAAGGCGCATGCAGTGCTGCCGTATGACCGCGAGTGGCCTATTCTTTCGTCTCCCCTCTCCCCATCGCCCTCCCTTCCCGCTTTTCCCCTTTCTTCCATTCGCTCCTCCTTCCCTCCCCCCTCCCCCCTTCCCTCTCCTCCGCCTTGCAGGAAGCACAGGGATGTGGTGATATACGCCAAGAACACATATGAGCGTTTCGATCGGGAAACAGACGACATGGCGCATGTGTTGCTGCCGTACGCCCGAGAGTGGCACCTCGCTGCCAAGCGCATCGTGGCCCGCCTTCCGAAACCCTTCATCGGCGTCCATTATCGCTCCGAGTTCATCGCCTTCCGACTGGTATGCTGCCCCTTCTTTGCTGCTGAGGCTTTGAGCGTTAGACGGGCGACATGACATGGCGCATGTGTTGCTGCTGTATGCCCAAGAGTGGCACCTAGCCGTCAAGCGTATCGTGGCCCGTCTGCCCAAGCCGTTCATAGGAGTGCACTACCGCTCCGAGTTCATTGCCTTCCGCCTGGTACGCTCCCCATCTGTCGCTTTTGTGGTGTCTCCATAGCCGTGCCCTTGCTAGTAGAAGCCTGCTGTTCCCTCGCTTGTCTTTTCTTGAGCGCAACGCAAGATGAGACGGTCGACGTTACATGGCGCATGTGTTGCTGCCGTATGCCCGAGAGTTGCACCTTGCTGCCAAGCGCATCGTTGCCCGTCTGCCCAAGCCGTTCATAGGAGTGCACTACTGCTCCGAGTTCATCGTCTTCAGGCTGGTATGCATGCTTCCCATCCATCGCCTTTGAGGCTCTCAAAAGCCGTACCCCTATTAGTAGGAGGAGCCCATGTCCTCCCTTGTCTGTCCTCGAGAGGGAGACAGACAAAGGTGTTGTGTCTCATCACATGTGGTGTTGTGTCACATGTGGTGTTGCTGCCGAATGCCCGAGAGTGGCATCTCGCTGCCAAGCGCATTGTTGCCTGCCTGTCCAAGCCGCTCATTGGAGTGCATTACCGCTCCGAGATCATTGCCTTCAGGCTGGTATGCTCCCCATATGTCGCTTCTTGGGCGCCTCAAGAGCCATACGGATGCTAGAGAGGCGTGTTCCCTCCTTTGTCTCCTCTTGAGAGGGAGAGTTTCCACGATCTTGGTTCCACCTCCTTTGTGTATGTGTGTGTGTTTATTTTTCCTGTGCAAGGCTTAGTGTCACTGTCTTTCGCTCTTGGGATTTGTTCCTTTGCAACATCCACTCACCATCACTATTACCATCCCCATCACCATCCCCATCACCATCACCATCCCCATCCCCATCGCCATCGCCATTGTCATCACCATCACCATCACCATCACCATCCCCATCCCCATCCCCATCCCCATCCCCATCCCCATCCCCATCCCCATCCCCATCACCATCCCCATCACCATCCCCATCACCGTCATCAGGCAGGTGAAAACAGAACCGACATCCCAGTCGAGGAGAGGCTGAAAATTCTCAAGGATCGCACCAGGTGGTGCACCAAAGAAGCTGCCCAGAAAATAAACAAAGTAAAAAACAGGCACAACGCATCCACCGTATTTCTGGCAGCCGATATTCCGTACAATCAGTCCGGCGTCACGCCTCGGTCGGAGTCATGGGACGCTCTGAAATGGGCGTTTGGAGATAACAATGTGTCGGATGTGCCTCACTATTGGCTGTCCTGGTTGCGCAAGAAAGTGAAAGGGACTGTCATGATTGATGAGCTTATGCCTTCGGCAAACAGCCTCGACCCAGGTGCGTCAAACTTATCATTTTTCACCCATTATCTATTTTTTGTGAAGTTGTGGCTACATTTGACGTCTTTTGCGATATTTCCTGGCAGGCATCGTGGCCATTTTAGACAAGCTGGTTTGTGCGCGGTCAAGCATCTTCCTTGCCGGCTCCATATCTTGTGGAGGTGGCCGGGGTTTCGAGAAAGATATATTACTTCACCGTGACAGCTTGAATAAAAGGCTAGATTTTGTTAGATGGGCTGCCGGGGAGAAACCCTTTTAGTATTACGGTAGTCTGTTAATGAACAATATGGTGTGTCTTGACTTAGAAATGACAAAGAAAAAATTGTGAAAAATGGTAGTACTGGAATCGAATGCTTTTAACGCGTGGTTCAAACAATTTGTGGTGTGGGTCATTATCCCCGGTGCGACGTGTCGTTCAGGATTGACTGCCAATCAAAGGCGAGGTGACGTGTGAAATTTATGACGTGTGGATCTCGGGGCAATCCAGCATCGCTTCCCATTCGTATTTCACTGATGAGAATGCCTGACATGCCTCAGATTTCTTACTAAAGCTCCTTTCCAAAATTTAGGGGCGTACTCACACTAGAGTTTCAAATACTGGTTTGAACCTCGTTTTCCTGATTGTGCTGGGTTGCGTTTCCAGAGCAAATCGTCGACTGGAAAGACCTGTCACCACAGGAGGCCACGTACTTCACAGTATGACTGCATTTCAATTTCGGATCACTGGATTCACAGGTTCAGAATCTTGTGATCCGAAATCGGGACGTTCTGCTACCAACGATCTGGAATACCTCTTCACACTCACTACGCATTCCATCTTCAGCTTTCTGACCAGCCTTGCATTCGTCTGAGAAATACCTCACTGGTTTATGCCTTCAGAATCTATTTTGAGAGGCTAGCTTTCCTGGACTTACTCCTCTCATCCTCCACACATTCAGAACCGTTTCGAGGTTCTGTCCTATTCTACCAAATGGCCGCTTCAACGCTCTCCGCGTCCGTTGCTCAGGCCGCCGTTGCGCTTCAAAGTAAGACAGTGCTAGCTGGCAAGTCCGATTGCTCTGGTCTATGGAGCCTGTCCATGCACAAGATTCGCGTATCCGTTCTCCGGTCTCAGCTGTTAGTTAATTATTGTAATGAAAGTAGGAACATGAGGAGATGTCGCCGTTCTAGAATCCTCGCGCCTTATTTATACATGTTCGGCTCTGGCGCAAGCATCTTCCGTATCTAGTTATATGTATAAGAAGGACACCCGCACTGGCACGAAAATAAGACTCCCTCCAATGCTCTGGTCATTTTTGGAAAATAAGAATCCCTTCATTCTATCCGCTGCTCCTTCGCAGGCAATGGCAGCGTTCGTACCGAACGGATCTCCTCCGCAGCGGCTCTTTTCCCCTCCAGAGTCGCTGGTCTCTCCGGTGAGTCCGTTTTCCTGACCACTTTTTCGCCTCTTAACCCCTTGAGGTTGCCGGTGGCTCTTCAGTTCGTTCATTCTAGCCATTCCTCTGCAGGGGCCACGTGTCCACGTGACCATTCGTTTACGTGGCGGTGTGTTCACGTGGTTATGCGTTTACATTCGGTCATGTGGTGATGCTGTCACGTGGCCATGCGATCGTATCTACTCCTCTCTTTCCGTGATGCCTCACGCGCGCCATTGTTTGGCCTTAACGCGTTTTGGCCCTCGCCCCCTCCCTTTCTCCGCTTGCCTCTCCTTCTCCCCACCCTGCTTCCCTCTCCACCCATCTTTTCCCTACTTTCGTCCCCGCCCCACCCTCCCCTTCCCGTTCCTAACTTCCCCCGCCTCGTCCGCCTTCTCCGTCCCCTCCACCTCCCTCCGCCTTCGCCTCTTCCGCCTGCTCCCGTTCCGTCCGCCTCCTCCGCCTCCGCATCTTCCGCCTGATCCGCCTCCTTCCCCGACCACAGCCAGCAGCCCCGTGTCTCGCAGCGCGCGCACGCCCGGCAGCGGGGTCGCGAGGAGAGCCAACCGGGTGGCGCCACGTGCGTCCGCGGACGCAGAGGAGCCGGTGACCATTGACAACTCGACCGGTGAGATTTGGGTACCCTGAGAATCAGCTACTCAAGTCGTTACATGGTAACCAGAGGGCGTGTTTACGGTACTGCGTGGGGAACGCATAGGAGCTGGTGACCATTGACAACTCGACCGGTGAGATTTGGATACTCGTGTGTAATCAAGTACCGAAATGACCAGAGGGGTGGTTTAGGGTATGATTGGGTGGATGCGGGAGGGGAAGGGCTAGGGAAGGGCAGAAGTGCCGGTGACGATTGACAACTCGACTGGTGAGATTTGGATACTCGTGTTTAATCAAGTTCTGAGATGACCAGAAAACGGGTTTAGGGTATGATTGGGTGGATGCAGAATGGGAGGGCGAGGGAAGGGCAGGAAAGCCGGTGACGATTGACAACTCGACTTGTGAGATTTGGATGCCCTTGTCTAGTGAATGTCTCAGTTAACCAGGGGATGGGTTGCGGGTATGATTAGGTGGATGCGGAAGAGGGTGAGCAGGGATGGGCAGAAGTGCCGGTGACTATTGACAACTCGACTGCTGAGATTCTAGCTTTTCAGTCTAAGTAGCAAAACCAGAGAGAGTGTTTCGGGTAGAGCGGCGGGATAGGGTGAGGGATGGGGAGAAGGAGGAGAAGGGTTGTGGGTATATGGATGGACGGGTCAGTGATAGGAAAGATGAAAGAGGCGGAAAATTCACCCGAGTACGTTTGCTGAACAAGATGAGGAACATTGCGGAATGAGGGTACCACACAAGTCCATCAGTTGGAATGGACTGACATTTCATGGAGCTTTTTAGAATTCTTAAAAACTCCGTGGTATACCTTGGGAGGAGGTAGCGTGAGTCCCACACACTCTCTTCCCTATCTCGCCCGTCGCTCCTCCTCACACTCTTTTCTTCCATCTCGCCCTTGGCCCACTGTGCTCGTGGTCTGCGGAGAGGGGGGGGATGGGGGGGTAAACGGGATGAAGGTGGTGCGGTAGCCGGCTGAAGCTGGGCGATGTTGATAATCCCAATAGCACAGAAGTGCGTGGGGTGAGAACGTCCTGAAGTGATTTTTTTATCTCTCAACAACCCTGACAGTCACAGTGCTTGTGGTGGGTGGCGGTGGAGTGGGAATGGAGCTGGTGCGACAGTTGGCCAAGGCGGGATCGTGGGTGACAACACTGCAGTGGGGGGAGAAGGTTTGTTTGATTGTGATGATCCCATCTTCAACCCACTCTTCCCCCCTAACGTGCTCCATATGTGTGTGTGCAGTGTTCGTGGTGGGTGGCGTAGGAGTGGGACTTTTGAGTCGACTCAAAAGTCACTCTTCCCCCCTAACGTGCTCCGTATGTGTGTGTGCATTGTTTGTGGTGGGCGGCGGTGGAGTGGGAATGGAGGTGGTGAGGCAGCTGGCCAAGGCAGGCTCGTGGGTGACGGCGCTGCAGAGGGGGGGAAGGGGGAGAGTGCCTAAATCTGATTATCTCATCTCCACCCATTCCCTCCCCCCAATTCGCCCTGCACAGTGCTCGTGGTGTGTGGTGGTGGCATGGGATTGAAGGTGGTGAGACAGCTGGCCAAGGCAGGCTTGTGGGCGACGGCGCTGCAGAGGGGGAAGGAGCCTTGAATGCAACTTACCTCGCCTCTCACACACTCTCTCCCTCTATCCTGCCCCGCATTCCCTGCGCTCCCCCCTTACTGAAGACTCTGTTCTTGCAGTCCTTGTGGTGGGTGGCGGCGGAGTGGGAATGGAGGTGGTGAGGCAGCTGGCCAAGGCAGGCTCGTGGGCGACGGCGCTGCAGAGAGGGGAGAAGTTCTTATAGTGATTATCTCATCTCATCTCCCACCCCCTCTCTCTCCTCGCATCCTGTCACCCCGCTCTCCCCTCTCAGTCCTCGTGGTGGGTGGCGGCGGAGTGGGAATGGAGGTGGTGAGGCAGCTGGCCAAGGCAGGCTCGTGGGTGACGGCGCTGCAGAGGGGGGAGAAGTTCCGCAAGGAGATTGAGGGGCTGGGGGCCATGCTCGCCATTGGGGACGTGATGGCGCCGGGAACGATAGAGAAGGCGCTCAGAGGAAACACATTTGACGCTGTTGTGTCCACCGTTGGTGAGTTGGCGGCAGTGGGCAGTGGGCGTGATGGTGTGTGTGTGTGCTGTAGAGCCCGACAGGGGAGATTGAGGGGCTGGGAGCCATGCTAGCTATTGATGGCTCCTGGCACGATCGAGAAGGCCCTCAGAGGAAACACCTTTGACGCTGTTGTCTCTACCGTTGGGCCTCGTGGGTGGGTGAGGCGCTGCAGAGGGGGGAGAAGGTGCTGAGATCGAGCACCTCTGATGCTGTCGTCTCTACTGTTGGTGAGAGTCACAAGGAAGTGGGCATGTATGTGTGTGAGTGAGGCAGTGAGCGTGTGTATGTATGTCATGCTGCTAAGCAGGGGAGATTGAGGGGCTGGGTGTTTTTAGACGTCTCAAAACACTCCTTCTTTCAAGCATGAGAGATTGAGGGGCTGGGGGCCATGCTGGCTGGTGGCGACGTGATGGCGCCTGGAAAAATCGAGAAGGCGCTAAGAGGGAACACCTTTGATGCTGTCGTGTCTGCCATTGGTGAGTCATGAAGATACTGAGGGTCGAGTGAGTGAGTGTGTGTGTGAACGTGAGCATGAGTGTGAGTGTGTTAGTGCGTGTGTGTTGCAGCAGGGGAATTTGAGGGGATGTGGGCGATGCAGGCTGTGGGCGATGCAGGCTGTGGGCGATGCAGGCTGTGGGCGATGCAGGCTGTGGGCGATGCAGGCTGTTGGCGATGCAGGCTGTTGGCGATGCAGGCTGTGGGCGATGCAGGCTGTTGGCGATGCAGGCTGTTGGGGGGTTGTGATGGCGCCTGGCATGTTAGATAGCTCAGATAGCTCCAGAGGTGCTACGAGGGGAAAGCTCAGATGGAACACCTCTGGTGCTGTCGTGTTCACCAATGGTGAGAGTCACAGGGGAGTGCGTTTTTGTTTTCTTGTGTGAGATGAAAAAGGCAGAGGTGATGTTGGGGACAGGGGTTGTGATAGGGCTCAGAGGTAACATGGTTGAAGCTGTTGTGTTGTATTCTTTGTTGGTGAGTTGAGGGGGATGTGTGTGTGTGTAACAAGACGCTATGTGTGATGTGACTGACTATATTCATTTGTTTGTGTGTTTCGTGTGTTACTCTGTGCAGGAGGGGGTCTGACAGACATCAAGGTAGACTCGGTAAGTGATATGCGTTGCTACGTATGAAGCGGGTTTCTGCAATGCGTTACTGGAATGCTGTGTTACTGGGATTACAACTGCGTTATAGCCCATCCTTTGCTCCTCCCCGCATGCTTTATTTTCCTCGTCTGCCTCTCTTCCTCCTACTTCTTCCACCTTTAATAGACTTCTGAGACGTTTCAAAAGTCCTTAGCTCCTCCCCGCTTGCTTTATTTTCCTCGTCTGCCTCTCTTCCACCTACTTTTTCCACCTTTAACAGGACGGCAACATTCACAGCATTGCAGCAGCATATCTGAAAGGCATGTTGCACATCTGAAAGGCATGGTCTTAGCTTGTTTTTCTTCCTCCTCTTCTCCTCGCTCCCTCCCACCCACCTTTGACAGGACGGCAACAACAATGTCATTGCAGCAGCAGAGAAGGCCGGTGTTCCTCGCTTCGTCCTTGTGAGTGGATTTGCTGAAATTCTTGAGGCGCCTCATAAATTGTTCCTCGCTTCGCCCTTGTGAGTGGATTTGCTGGTTGGGGAGTGGGAGTGGGAAAAGGAGGGATGGAAAGAGGAGGGAGGAAGGGAGGGAGGAAGCGAGTTGCTGGTGCATCAACGTTGTTGCGGATGCAGAGTTTTGAGACCTCTCAGAACTCTACTTTTATCACGCCTTTGCAGCTGCAGAGAAGGCCGGGGTTACTCAATTCGTCCTTGTGAGTTGGTTTGCTGGAGGGGAGGGGAGAAGGAGGTAGGGAGGTGGGATGGAAGGGAGAGAGAGAGAGAGAGAGGGAAGTGGGGGAAGGGAGGGAGGGAAGGAAGAGGTGGGAGAGGAGGGAAAGAGGGAGGAGAGGGCTTGGGGGCAGGGTGGTTGCGGGAAGGGGAGCGAATGGGAGGGGTGTGTGGGAGTCTTTCGTTTCATTCTCACAAGTTGTTGATTTGAGATGAGGAGAAAAAGTGGGGGGGATTGGGAGAGTGGGCTATAGAGTGGCTGGTGCTGGTAGAGAAGGAGAAGAGTGAGGAGGAGGGGCCCACACCCAGGGCCCACACCCAGGGCCTCTCCATCTTTGCTTATGTTCGCCATACCACCCTCCAGGTGCTTATGTTCGCCACACCACCCTCCAGGTGTCCAGCATAGGAGCAGGCGACAGCAAGGCGGCAGTGCCTGGGAAGGAGATGGACGCGCCGGGGCCGGTGCTGGCAGAGAAGGAGAAGAGCGAGTAGCAACCCAACCCACCTTCTCTTCTCTTTGCTTCTTTTATCTCGCCTTGATCCCCTGATCTCCGTCTCTCCCCTGCACTCTCCACTCAGGTGTCTAGCATAGGAGCAGGCGATAGCAAGGCGGCGGTCCCAGGGAAGGAGATGGACGTGTTGGGGCCGGTGCTGGCCGAGAAGGAGAAGAGCGAGGAGCGGCTCAAGGCCAGCGATAAGCTCAAATGGACCATCGTTCGCCCAGGAGGGCTGCTCTCAGATGTAAGGGGCGAGGAGATGGGTGGGTCCAGGGCTGTGCGCGGCTGCTCTCACATGTGAGCCTGCTCTCGGATGTGAGCCTGCTCTCGGATGTCTGACGTTGAGAGGCGGGTATAATAAGAGCAGGAGAGGAGCGTCTGAAGGCGAGTGATAAGGTCAAGTGGACCATCGTTCGCCCAGGTGGCCTGCTCTCAGATGTGAGTTCACTCTGCTTTGGCTGGAGGGGAAGGGATTGTTTCCGGGGAAACACAGGTTTAGGGAGAGGAGAGGAGCGGCTCAAGGCCAGCGATAAGCTCAAATGGACCATTGTTCGCCCAGGAGGCCTTCTCTCTGATGTAAGGCGCGGAGGGCGGTGAGGTGTGATCCTGCTTTGGGACGTAGGCCTGTTGGCCGAGTAGCACTAGGGCGAGAAGCGGCTCAAGGTCAGCGATCAGCTCAAGTGGTCCATCGTCTGCCCGGGAGGACGTTCTGCTGAAATAGGGCGGCTTTCAGATGTAAGCATGTTCTGTTCTTGGTTTGAGGGGAACGGCTAGGCTTCTGAGGAGAGACAGGAGCGGTCGAAGGCGAGCGATCAGCTCAAGTGGTCCATCGTCCGCCCAGGAGGCCAGCTGTCAGATGTTAGGGGTGAGGAGGGAGGTCGGATGTAAGCCAGCTGTCAGGTGCCAGCATGTTTCCCAGATGTAAGCCTGTTGTCAATCTCTCCATCCAGTGTGCATCCCGCTCCTCATCCTCACCAACCCCCTAACTCCCACCCTCCCACTTCCCCTCCCCCCTCCTCTCCCCTTCGTCCTCGTGCCTTCCTCCAGGCGAGCAATGGCTCGGGCATCTTCAGAGGACAGCATCATGGTAGGGAACATCTGGATCTCTTAGTCTACTTGAAAAACACTTCCTGATCTACCCCATCTCACCCTCCTCTCTCTCTTCTCCTCACATCTTCCTCCTCCAGGCGGCCACTGGCACAGGCATTCTCACAGAAGACAGCAGCGTGGTGGGGGTCATCTCCCGTGCTGACGTGGCACAACTGGTGAGTCATCTCCCGTGCTGACATGGCGCAGCCCGTGAGTCGCCACCTGGTTGCTGAACACTATAGTGACTTGTCTGAGAATTAATGAGGTTTGAACATGTCTGCCTGTGCCCAAATTAATCCATCCCTACACCTGTGCCAAGCAACTCTCCATCAGATTTTCCAACTTTCTATGAGGAGAAGGCTGAGGGAGTTTGAGATGCTGCAAATTCACACCATCCCTCCGTGCACACGTTCCCATCCCCCCACCGTCCCTCCCTGCATGTATATGCCCACCACCCCACCATCAGATTTTGCGCATTCTCTTTGAGGAGAAGGCGGAGGGGAAGGTTTTCTCTGCCATTGATGCACAAAAGGTGGGTGTGGTGATGTTTCTCAAGCGCTTCGTATATTCGTCCCTCTATCTCCCCTCAGTCTGTACGCATGCCACAAACATGTTAGCTACCACCCCACTGCTGTTTGTAGTGGTGTTGATGCATACTCTTGCCCTCCACTCTCCTCATACCGAATCCTGCTGTGATTCGTGCAGAAATTTCCTGGAGCACCCGAGAAGGAAATTGTTGAGTTCAAGGTGTAAAACATTCCTTGATCTAGTGACATTCAATGTTAGGATATTTTCTGTGATTGAACTTCTCCTGAGAAGGATATTGTAGAAATGTGTTTGAAATAGGTATGTCTTATCCTAAACATTCCTTCTGCTGCGATCAAAAGATGATCAATACCAGAATCACCTCAGGAAGGTTAGCACACTTCTAGTTTAGTGGTGGTGGGCCCTTGAATATAAAATGCTTGAGATGATGAAACATGCAAATGCAGCGATATATATAAGAGTACAGGGGAATACGAATTGACCTAGCTAGCCATGTACTCTAAGGGGTACATTCCCTTCTTCAAATTCATTCCCAACCGTGCGCCGCGTACAGTTACGAAACTGTTCCCGCCAGAATCCTTCTGCCTGCAGCTGCCCGATGCCGTCTGCTCCGACGGTCCAGATGCATCTCAACCGTCTGACGTTTCGAGTCAACTCTAACTCTTCACATTCGTTCTCGATACTGCATGCTTCTTTAGCTGCGGTCGGGAGTGCACTATAATCTTCATTTATTGCTATTCGTAGCACCCCCCTTCACTTCTGGTCGTAGCTCGACTTGACCTGCTTGACCACGCCGCTGAGTTTGGAGCAGTGTTGGTACTGCTGGCGTGGCAGTCACTTCATGAGAAAATCTGCTGCCATGTCACCGGTCGGGCAATAGGTCAAGTCAACCTTGCCCTTGTCCACTTCGTCCTTCACGAAGAAATACCGCAGCGCAATGTGTTTGGTGCGGTTGACGAAACCAGGTTTGTTCGCGATGCGAATCGCGCTCTGGTTGTCGCAGTGAAGGCGAAAGGTGGGCGAAGCTGGAATTTTCGCCTCCTCCAGAAGTTCCTGTAGGTAGAGGCCTTCGCGAACTGCTGCGGTTGCTGCGATGAATTCCGCTTCGGCTGACGACAAGGCAACCAGCTCCTGCTTCTGCGAGTTCCAGGAGATTGGTCCCGTTGGTTCGAGTCGGAACAGTAAGCCAGTCCTGGACCGTCAATTGTCGGGATCTGCTGCGTGATCGGCGTCCACGTAGCCGATCAGGTTGAAAGATGGGGTTGGTGCAGTTGAGTAGCACAGCCCGATCTTGGGCGTTGAAACGAAGAACTGTAGGGCGCGCTGCAGGTCTAGAAGATTCTCAGCCGTTGGTTTGCGTGAGTACTGGGCCAGCTGACTTGCGATGTAGGAAAGGTCGGGCCTGCATGTGATAGAGGCAAAGAGCAGGCATCCAAGCTGCTGCTGGTAAGTCTGAATTCCAGCAGGAGATAGGGCTTTGTTGTCAGGTTTGTGGTTCGGTCCCGGAGTTCGATAGGGAGTTGAGAGCGGTGCAGGCGAGATGTTGAACCGCTTCCCTAACTCCTCTGCGTACTTAGCCGCTGAAAGGTGAATGGCCTCAGGTGCGTAGGAGATGTTGAGGCCTAAGAACTGCTTCACCTCGTAGTTGCACGTGATGTCAACGCGCCTCGCCAGGCTTTTCTCGAACTGCTCGAGTAACTCGTTGCTTGATCCCGTGTAAATCAGGTCATCGACATAGACTGTGAGGAGAATGTATTCGCCGTGGGAATCGCGGTGATACATTCCTGGATCGTGCGGCATCTGCTTGAACCCGATTTCAAGCAGAATGTTGTGCAGATACTGATGCCAAAGCCTTGGTGCCTGTTTTATCCCGTACAGGGATTTGCGCAGCTGGCATACGCGCGAATCCCCTTCGCCGTACGTGTGCGGCTGCTCCACGTAGATTACGGCGTCTACTAATGCGTACAGGAACGCATTATTGACGTCAATCTGGCGGAGAGGTAGGTGCCTTGCGGCTGCGATGGCGAGCAAGATTCGGACGGAGGTGTGGCGGCTGACTGGGCCGAACGTCTGGTCGAAGTCGATGCCGTGCCTCTGGTCGTATCCGCGTACCACCCAACGCGCCTTGAAGCGCTCGATCGTTCCGTCCGTTGCGGTCTTCACGAGGAAGACCCATTTTCCTGAAAGAACTATTGCACCTTTGATTGCCGCTCGGTCGACTAACACCTAGGTGTCTCGGGATTCGAGCGCCTTGATTTCCGCGTCCATTGCCTCGCGCCATTCTTTGCTGTGAGGTCCCGTGAGAGCTTGGCGTGGGTTTCGTGGCTCGATGACACGTGGCGCCTTCGAGGTTGCGGTGTGAAGCCCGAGCAGCTACAAACCTGAAACGGTGCAGTCGTGGCGACGTTGCGGGATGACTTCCTACACATCGTCGTCATCGCTCTCTGGTTCAGGTGGTGCAGGTGGTGCTGCGCCACTGTCGCTTCTGCCTGTTCCGCCCATTCCTCCTCCAGAGGAATAGTCGTCGTCGTCGTCGTCGCTGCTGCGATCTCCCCGTGTGAACTCGCCCCTGGTGTCCTGCTCCAGGATTGCTGCCGCAGCTTCGTCCTCGGGCGCTGCATAGCTGTGCCCGTCGTTTGCATAAACACGGTTTGCATTCGTCTGCTCGTCGTGGCGGAATTGGTCGAGGAAGAGGCGTTCGTAGAAAATCACGTCGCGAGCGTGGGTGGTCTTCTGACTGAGCAGGTCCAGCACGATCCACGCTTTGTGCTCGTGGCTGATGCCGAGGTGAATGCCCCAACGTGCGCGGCTGGCGAATTTGCCAATGGTTCACGTTGGCGGGCGGTATTGGACCATGGAACCCCACACGCGGAGCATGGACGTGTCTCCCTTGGTCCCGGTCCACTTTACGTTTGGGGACGGGTTGCTGGTGATGGCGGTGGTTGACAGTAAGTTGTGCACCCGCACGGCGCGGTGCATCGCGTAAGTCCAGTAGATCGGCGGCAGTTTTGACTGCTTCATCAATGCTCGCACCTTCTTCATGAGCGTGCGGTTCGTCCGCTCAGCTACGCCCTGCTGCTGGTATGCTTAGGGGAGAGAAATATGGTGCTCGATCCCCTTTTGCGCGAGGTAACTCTGCATCTGATTGCTCCTGAATTCCTTTGCGCCGTCAGATTGCCAGATTTTCAGCTTCTCCCCAGATTGTCGCTGCCCGTGCGCAAGCCAGAGGCGGAAGACCTCATAGGCTCTGTCGCGTGTTTCAATGTTCACGATCCACACATAGCGCGTCCCGGCGTCGATGAAGGTAAGCGTGTACATTTCGTCGTCGACTCCGCAGTGCCCCACGTTCAGGAAATCGTTGTACACTTTGTGCAGCTTGGGGTAGCGGTTCGTTCCTGGCTCGAGCAGCGGGAACGGCTGGTGGTTTAGTGCAGCTTCGGGGCAGACGGTGCAGTTGCACGGATGTGTTGCGCCCCTCACTTCAGTGCCATCTGGGCGGATCAGCGCCCAAGGAGCGAAGACTCCTGCGTCGATGCAGTTCTTCAATGTCGCACACAAAGGATGTCCGAGACGCTGATGCCAGAGCGCATCGTCAGCGCGAAAGCCGGAAGTGCGCATGTAGCGTGCGCGAGCTTCTTCGGGATCCTCATAAGGTACAAGGGCATGTCAGAACATTATAGCTTATGCATTTGTGTAGGTTGTAGTGGGGTAATCCATAAGGGGTACAACCCAATTAGGGTTAGTACTTGTACCCAACTCTTTCATAGTTCAATCATTCTCGTTCTAGTTTTCTCATGGTATCGAGCAGGTTCCCTCGTAGGAACTGTTCCTAGGGACCGATATTTTTTTTCCTGCCCGGAGCGCGCCTCACCCTAGACCGAGTCGCGCGCGCCCCGCGTGCCCTCCCTACCGTTGTGCCGCCCTTAGCGGCCCCCTCTCACGGCCCCTTAAGCCGCTCTTACGGCCCCGTGCACCGCCCTTGCGGCCCCGCGCACCGCCCTTTACGGCCCCGCGCACCGCCCGTCGGCCCCTCGCGCTGCCCGTCGGCCCCGCGCGCCGCCCTAGCGGCCCCTTGCGCTGCCCGTCGACCCCGCGCGCCGCTCTATCGGACCCTTGCGCCGCCCGTCGGCTCCGCGCGCCGCCCTTGCGGCCCTTCGAGCCGCCCGTCGGCCCACCGTGCGCCGCCCTTGCGGCCCCTTGCGCCGCCCTAGCGGCCCCGACGCCTACTCCTGCGGCCCCGGCGCCGCCCTTCCCGGCCCCGGCGCCACCTCAGCTGGCCCCGTCGCCTACCCCTGCGGCCACGGCGCAGCCCTTCCCGGCCCCGACGCCGCCTCACCCGGCCCCACCGCTGCTGCTCCACCTGGCCCCGCCGCCGCTCCACCTGGCCCCTCGAGCCGCCTTCTGCGGCCTCCTCGCGGCCCCACCGCCACCCTTTGCGGCCCCTAGCGGCCGGCCACCGCCGTCACTGAGTCAGGAGCCGTCGCCGCCGCCGAGCCGCCCAGCAGCCGAGCCGCTGAGCCGCCGAGCCGCCCAGCAGCCGAGCCGCCCGCACCGCCGAGCCGCCGAGCCGCTGAGACGCCCAGCCGCCCAGCAGCCGAGCCGCCGAGCCGCCCAGCAGCCGAGCCGCCCGCACCGCCGAGCCGCCCGAGCCGCCCTGTCCGGTAAGAGCAGCGCCTCTGTCACTGCACTGCCCTTACCCTACTGTTCGCACTGCTAGTCTACTGCTGTCATGGCTACCCCTAATGTCCTCGCTTTTGACGCTGAGGGTCGGGCCATTGACTTTGACGTCTGATACATGACCTGCAGCTTTTCTTGCAGTGCGATAGGGCAGACGGTCTCTCCCTCTTTGACCTCACCTCTGGTGCCTCTCCTGCCCCTGCTGCTGATGCTGACGCCACTGTTCGCTCACAGTGGGCCACACGCGATGCTCCTGCACGTCTTGCTGTGCGTCGCCACCTGCCTACCTCTGAGCGTGCGCACTTTAGCCAGTACAAGAGTGCTCAGACCTTGTACGATGCTGTAGTTGCACGCTACTCCTCCCCTACCATTGCTGCACTGAGCCGCCTCATGTTACCGTACCTCTTCCCTGACCTTGCTGCCTTTCCCACAGTCACTGACCTCATTACACAACTCCGCACTAGTGACACTCGCTACCGCGCTATGCTTCCTGCTGAGTTCTGCGCCAAGAACCCCCTCCCCCCCCATGT